AGCTTTCTGGACCATCAGAATATTACAGTGAGTAAGATAGTGGCATGATGGTGTGTGATTTTAGAAAAATCTCTGGTAGCATGGTGGGAATGATTGGCAGGAAAAGGTTGGAGGCCAGGTGTGGCTTAGTGGGCTGTTGAAATAATCTGGGGGAAAGATGGTATGGGGTGGGGTAGTGACAATGGACCCAGAGCAGAACTGATTTTGCCTTGGAAAGGTTTTTATAATGACTGACTTGATTGGTGTGTGCATGTTTTTCTGGGGTCCGAGTGAGAAAAAGGGTAGAATCTAGAATAACATCCACATGTTAGTTTTCATGGCAGGGCAGTGAATAGGGGCAGATCGATGAGGGAGGAAGTTGGCCAGTTGGGTTCGAGACACATCTGTGTTGAAGAGTCTGAGACAGTCAAGTCTTGATGGGCTGGGCAAGTGGGGCCATGGGGCTGAAGCTCAGTAAAGAGGTTTGTTCTGAGGTGGCTGCCAGTTGTACTGAGGGAAAAATGTGACAAAAGGAAAGATACATGATATTAACTTCCTCTCAAGTGCTGCTTCTTTTATTTTATTTTTTTCTCAGCTGTATTAGGGTATAATTGACAAGTAAAACTAAAATGCTCAGAATGTACAATGATGATTTGATACACATATACATTTTGATAGGATCCCCCACTGAATTAGTTAATACAACCATAATCTCATATACTTACCCTTTTTTGTGAGAACATTTAATCTCTACTCTTAGCAAATTTCACTTATATAATAGAGTATTATCAATTATAGTCACTGTGTTATACATTAGATCCTCATTTTGTAACTGAAAGTTTGTATCCTTTTACCAGTCTTTCCCCATTTCTTCCACCCTTCTCACTCCACTCCCAACTCCCAAGCTCCTTGTAGCCACTTTTCTACTCTGTTTCTATGAGTTCAGCTTTTTTTTTTTCTTTTAAATTCCATATATAAGTGATATGCAGTATTTGCCTTTCTCTGATTGGCTTATTTCCCTTAGCATAATGCCTCCCCAGTTTCATCCATGTGGTATATGACAAGATTTTTTTCTTTTTTTAAGACAATAATATTCCATCTCCTTTATCCATTCATCCACGATGGATACTTAGGTTGTTTTCATACCTTGGCTGTTGTGAATACTGCTACCATGGATATGGAGATGCAGATAGCTGTTCATTATCCTGTCTTCATTTACTTTGGATAAATACTGGGAATTGGGATTGCTGAGCCATAAGGCAGTTCCACTTTGACTTCCTGAGGCTACTCCATACTTTTCCACAGTGGCCACCAGCCATGCATGAGGATTCCCTGTCCTCCACATTCTCACCTGCTTGTTCTGATTTCCTGCCTTCATATTCCTTTTGAATCTCTTAATATGGGTCATTTCTTATTTTTGTAACTAACAAATACAGGCTTTCTCTGGGACAATGATAATGCAGAAACGGCTGCTATTGAATAAGGAAAAATAAGAAGAAAAAGTCAAGAGCAAGAATCTCAGAGATGTGTGGGGAAAAGCTGCTGCCCCAGGAGCCGGGGTGGGCCTGCGAACTCCTGCTCACAGATGTCTTCTCTCCCCTGTTCCCTGCATGTCTTCTGCTCGCTTTCTTTGCTGTCCACGTATTTAGGCCCTACATCGGCCCCAAGGCTTTCTATATTTATTATTTCAGTGGGTAAGACAATAGTGATTGTTTCTCCAAAACTTCACCTGAACCTCACATCTTGGCTCCCCCTTTTATGTTTCACCCAGGCCTGTTTGTCCACAGGCACCCAGAGTTCTTCAGTCTCTTCAGTAAACATGCTCTATGTTTCATTAATACCATTGTAAGCTGTTATTCAAAAAAATTAACTCCACTTCAAAAAAAAATAACTCCACTTAAATTGAAGACCTTTCTTATGCAATATTTTCAGAAGACCAAATAATAAAATTTAAAAAGTTCTTTTTTGAAGACACTTAAATCACTTCCTTTAATAACATACTAACATAACTTTACCAAGTTTTACTCATTAAGAAAAAAGGATGTTTATTGTTTTCTTTCTTTTGATGGAAGTTGAAGACTTACGCATAGTTGTTAGTGGTGTTTGGTTAAGAAGAATTTGTTTTTAATTGTATATGTCAGATATGTACCTATTAATGTTTCTTATTGCCTATTTATAAATTCTAAATTTTAATGTGGTTCAGGAGGGAGCTTTGTAACAAAATATTTGAATTAGGAACATGATTCTGTTGTTTATCTATTTTCATTCTTGTTAAGGAATGAATTCAGTTGCACAAACCCAGAGAATTTCATGGGTTAACCATGTTAGTTAGTTCAGGAATTTCATGTAGTTCTGTGAAGATACCCATCTACACGTGCTGGCCAATCCAAACAACCTCTGGCCAGCTGGCCCCTGACCCAGTTCAGTTCTCTCATCCTGTGGCTTGCAAAATAACCACCTTTTGGGAGAGAAAGTGAATCAAAGTAATTTTTGGTTCAAATGATTATTGCCTATTTTCTTCTGAAGCTTAATATAATTTCATTTTTTTAGACTTGAAATAAATCAACACGTACTGCATACAACACCACAGGAAACCAAACACTCAAAGTCTCTTTGAAGGGTCAGAAGAACACACTTTTTGCTTAGAGTTTACATCTGCCCAGGTAAATTTGTTTCTGGTTCTGTTATTGTCTCAGTTTGTCCCTATTAATAAGGACAACCCTAAAAACAATAACCATGCCTGGATATCTGAGTAGTATGAGGTCTCTTACTAAAGTTACAAGTTTATAACTCTGCTGACTAGTTGGCTGATTCCTGTTATGCATTTGAAGAGTGCAGATGTTAATTTGATCTGACTCCTGTTTATACAGTGGGCTTTTTATAATGCACATATAAAGATGGAGAACCACATTTTATGAGACCAACACTTCTTGTCAAGGCCTCACTCCATTCTATTCTGATTGGGACTGACCCTTACAGTGAATAAAGAGCAAAGAGTTTTGTAGTTAAAACATTTCACTATGTGCCAAAAGCTTGTCCTTTGTAAATGGAAAAATGGAGACTTACATAGAGACTTTGAATTAGAGGGTGGAATATATACCCTCTTTGTGTGTGTATGTGCGTGTGTGTGAATGAAAATGCACTTAAAAATAGTACAAATTATCTCCTTAGTCTAAATTCAGGACATTTCTCCAAGTGGTGTAAGAATATAGACATATATAAATACGTCTTTGTCAAAACTTCTTTGTTGAAACATACCAGTTTTTCTCAAAACATACCAGTTTAACTTCTTTGTCAAATCATACCAGTTTTTTATTAATTAGTGAAGTTTAATGTTCTGCATACTGTGCACCAGATTTTTCCTGATGGAGAAAGAAATGAAGGTGACTTCTAAATCATAGAGCAGAAACTTCATGTGGGCAACCAGATATGTATATCTGGAGCTCGGAGAAGAAGGTTGGACTGGGAGTCTACACTTCTGAGTCATGGGCATTTGATGACAGTGGGAACTGTAGGTGTGGACTAGATCCTTCCATGGGATCATACAGAACAGTAAAAAGAGAAGAGGGCCTGACATTGAGCCTGTGGAGCCCTGACTTAATGCTTGGTGGTGAATCTGCAAACAACATGGGGAAGTCACGGCCTGGGGGGGGCAGAGCAACTCTGGGAGTTTTGTATTGTTGAAGCCAAAGGAAAAGAGAAAAGCATGTTTCAGAAGGAAAGGAGGCATCTTTTGAGCTTGTTGTTAAAAAATATATTTGACTTATTGTGCTATTACAATTGTCCAATTTTTCCCCTGTATTGCCCTCTACCCTACACCCTCCCTTTCACCAGCATCCCCCCTGCCTTAATTCATGACCATGGGTCATACATATAAGTTCTTTGGCTTTTCCATTTCCCATACTATTCTTAACCTCCCCCTGCCTATTTTGTACCTACTATTTATGTGTCCTATTCTCTGTACCTGATGCTTCTGATATGTCAAAGTATAATGCAGACTGAAACTATCTGTTGGATTGAGCACTAAGAGTCATTGCTGATACCAGAGAAGCTACTTTTGTGGGGCAACTAAGTTGGAAACAGATTGGCAGGGGTTGAGCTGGGCAGGAGGGGTGAGGAAACAGGTCCCTGGAGTGTAGACATCTCTGAGAATTTGAGTTGCCAGAGAGCGGGCGGGATACAAGATGGAAATTCGAGAGTGATATGAGGTCTGGGGGGATCTATTTTGTGAAGCAGACCTGCATGTGATAAAAGCCCACGAGAAAGGAGCATTTGAGCAAGAGAAAAAAGAGAGAGGATTCATAGTAAAATAATAGTGACAACAATAATAGTATTTATTGAGTGTTCACATATCTGGGACCCGGTGGTAAGCCCTTCATGTGCATTCTCACGTTTAATTTTTAGAATGATGTTATGTAGTGGGTACCATCATTTTCTCTCGGTGAAAGACGGGGAAGTGAGGACTGGCGTTGGTTACTGGCTTGCTCAGTGTCCTGCAGCTAGTGAGTGATGGACTAACTTAGTAACTTACGGACTGAGCTTTGCCAATGCCCAGCTGACCACTCTGGCTTGAATTTAGGTTTTTCAGCTGCATTTAAATACCCACTTAAAGATTTTTAAAAATTGTGTTTAAGAAGGCCACTTGGAAACTGTCCGAGAGTTCTAAGTTTTATTCTGACACCCATTTAACTAGTGGCCTGGTTAAAAAAAAAGGCTTTATCTGCTGAGAGAACCCAACCTTGTAAATGTGTATAAGACATCATGCCCCCAAATACAGTCTGTGTGAACCGAAGGCAATTTGCCCAAAGAACTCCCCAAACACTTGGCCGAGGCAGAAAATAAGTCTAGGAGATTTTTTTTTTTTCACTTAGAAAAGGACAGAGAAAGGATGGCGGGCCGAGGTAACAACACAGTAAGGCCAAGTAAGTGATATGAAAACACTCCTCAGACAGCCTCATCGTGCATTCTGACTGGCTAAGTTTCCTGAAAAAGTATTAACTCTGTCCTCTTGCTTTTAACAGGACATAATGACTACATGTGTCCGGCTACCAACCAGTGCACAATTGATAAAAACAGGAGGAAGAGCTGCCAGGCCTGCCGCCTGCGCAAGTGCTATGAAGTGGGCATGATGAAAGGTGGTAGGTACCTCCGACGCAGGGTGTCCGCCCACTGTGGGTGCCCGTGCGGACCACCCGGTGCGGGCTGCTTCTATCCCAATAACTGTGGGAGTCCGGTGTTTGCTCTCCTGATTAGTTTTTTTCCTCTTCTTATCTTTTCTTTGCAACAAAAGTATTTTTATAATAATACATTTTATTAAGAAAATAGGAAGTGGTTGGAATGGGAAATTCTAGCGTGCCATCTTGTGTTTTATAGTTTAAATGTACATAGTTATGTTCTAAATCAAAGGGGGTGTGGAAGGGGGTCATGGGAGGAAAAAAGACTACTCAGTAGTTATTCTAGAACTATCCTTCAGTTACTGTTCATATTGCTCATGCTAGAAAATGGTATCTGAGAATAAGTTTCTTCTACATTGAGTCTTGTAAAGGGGAGAGCTAAATAGCTAATTTACAGTATAACCTTTCAATCTCTTAACATCCTTTAGGGAATTTGCATTTCAATCCGAGGGCAGCTATTTCCTTTAGAAGTTGAGTCAGTGAGCAACTCACACCATGTCAGCGTTGGGAGCCCTGAAATGAGCTCTGAGTCCTGACAAACCCCAAGGCTCTCAGGATCTGGGCTGCATGCTCGTGTCTCTGTGGCTGTGGGTGTTGTGTACATGTGGCTTTTTGTCCTCTCACGGTCATCAACTCTTTGAGTTTTCTTACACAGGAATCCAGTGTCTGGTTCTGGGGCAGGTGCTTCATAGGTGTAGTTGCCTGACGTGTCTTGCATTTTGGGGATCTAGTCTTGAAGAACACCGCTTGTAGTCGTGGATAGCCTTCAAAATACAGAGAAAGAACAAACAGGAGCAGTGTAATTAAAGTCAAGTCACGGGGCCCTGGCTGGTGTGGTCAGTCAGTTGGAGCCTTGTCCCATAAGCTGAAGGGAGGCAGGGTTGATTCCCAGTCAGGACACTTGCCTGGGTTGCAAGTTCCCTCCCTGGTAGGTTTGGGTGTGAGGCATTCAATTGATGTCTTTCTTCCTTTCTCTCTCCCTCCCTTCCCCTCTCTCAAAAATCAATAAGTATGCCCTCAGATGAGAATTAAAAAAAGAAATTAAAAAAATAAAGTGCATTTAGTATTTCAGAACAATACTTGAGGTGGGGTGGGGTGGGGTGAGGGGCAGTGGATGGGTGATGGGCTTGCCTGCTGGTCACAATGGGGCAAAGCTTCCTGAGAGAGACAAGGCTTCAGATGAGTTAAAGGAGAAAAAGTGGTTCTAGTGATTACACAGAGAGAGGAGAGAGAGGGCAGCTAAACTTTAACTCATTAATTCCTGGACAAATGGAAAAGCATAGGAAAACCCCAGAATGGAGATCAGGATGAAGGCATGCCTAATTGTTATGAAGCTTACAAGAAAAGGGTTCTCATATTCCATTGTCATCAATAAGCCTGCCAGGTTGAGATTGTGAATAACAGTATTTGGAATAAATTTTCTTGATGAATAGATGAAATGTTGAATTCACACATTGGGTAAGCTGTGACTACATGTCTTAAATGTCTCAAAAAGCAGCTTTAATTTGCAAGGTAATTCTAAGAATTTAACAGCCACGTTCAGAAAATGACACTTTGAGTCATAAGTGAATTAAATATTTAAGGATTTCATCTTTCTTTGTACTGTTGGGTAATTAGCTAGGCTTAATTAAACTCACAAAAAGCCTTTTAAGGTAACTTGATGGTGACAGGAAGATAACAGCTGCATGTAAAAAGTGAAATTTGAAACAGTAGGGTCTACGTTTAAATGATTGTGGGTAGATTAAGCCCAGTCCATTACATTCTCTCTGAAAGATGGATCGATTTGTGGAGATGTCCAAAGCATTTTGTTTCTTTTAGGGTACCCATACATTGGCCCCACTTCGTAAAAGCAATTCTGTTTTTCCTAATTAATATCCAGATACAGTCTAGCTGCATAAATATAAATTACACATACTCATTTTTAATCTAACAAAAATTTTAATTATGCAATGACATAAAAATCTTTCTACTGTTTTTGAACAGGACTCTAGATAATTTAACTGCACATAACCAGTCTGCTTGTCAATGTGTTTAGTTGTACACATGCATTTATAACTGTAACATATGTATCTGTATTAGTTTGCTTGGTCTGTTGAAGTCTATAAACTGGGCAGCTTAAACCACAGAAATTAATTTTTTCACAGTTCTGGAAGCTAAAGTCCAAGGTTAAGGTGATGGAAAATTCAGTTTCTGGTGAATTTTCAAAGGCTGCCTTCTCGTTGTGCCTTCCCTTGACCTTTTCTCTGGGCTCACCCACCCCTGGTGTTTTTTTCTCTTATAAGGACACCCATCGTATTGGATTAGGGCCCTGCCCTTATAACCTCATTTAATCATTAGCACCTCTTTAAAGATTGTACGTCCACTTACAGTCACATTCTCAAGTACTGGTGTTAGGGTCTCCACATGAATTTTGGGAGCACAGGACATCATTCAGTCCATAATAATATCCCATAAAGGTTCTTCAGTGGTCCAGTATCTGATTACACTTAATGAAAACATGTATCTTTCTAGCAGTTTATATATTTGTATAAGTTTTATGCCAAGCTTTAAAGTTGTACAATTACACACTGTGAGAACATCTCATTTTAATGATATATATGAAGTATTTGCTACAATATAATTTATTGTATTCTCTACAACATGGGATATGACATGAATAAAGCTTTAATTTACAACTGGAAATACAGTTATAACTAACTATAAAATTTGAAGTTACTGGTAGAGAACAGCTGGGAATGCTATAAATCTTTCTACTGTTTTCCTGTTGGTTTCATAAGAATCCACTTTCTCAACCAGGCTAGACACCAATTAGAATATTGACTCTCCCCTCCACTCATGAAATAAAATGTTTAGTTTCACATATAACAGAAAGAACCACATCCCTACTCCCAACTTAATAGAAAGACTGAATAAAATTTATTGAAGTTCCCTAAAGGCTTATTTGAGTTCCTGACTTACCTAAATGCAGACACTATTTTCGCCTGTTATGATGCCTGCTGTGCTCTGATCTTCTCAACGTCATTGTTAGATTTGGTTCTGAGCCAAGGTAGCTCGGTAACATGCAGGAGTTCAGGTCAGCTTTAGGGGATGGGTTCCCCCAATTTAGCTCACATGCTTGTCTCTCTTCCCCAGTCTCTTTTTCCTCTTCATCTGTCTCCCTCCCCTTCAGCCTTAGATGGCAGATTAAATGTCTCTTCTTCAGGGAGGCCTTCCCTGTTGCCATGCACTGGATTAGCTCCTTGTGTTCTACCTTTTGTAGCAAACCACTCTTCTTGTGCTCTCGTCACTATTACTATTTGTTGCTCAGTGTCTGTCCATCAACTCTGCGATGGCAGGGGCTCTCTCTGTCCCGGGTATGATTCTAGCACTAAGCAAGTCACCAAGTAAGTGTTCAGGATTTTTTTTTCATGAGTTGATGAATGAACTCAATTTATTGAAGTGATTATTTTTTTAAGGTTTTTTATATGTAAGCTGTCACAGGGAAAGCAAGGACGAATGAGAGAGACCCTAGTCCCTCCTGTCCAGGTCCTCGAACTACAAAGAGGACATTGGCACATGAAATGGCAAATCCAGAAGGCAACTTGACACTGCATTGCAAGATGAAGCTGTGAATGGAAGACCAGTGGTTGGTGGAAGTTCAGAGCTTTAGTCAAATAGTCCTGGGGTTAGTCCAACCCAGAACATTACTCAGACCACCTGACTTCCAACGTGTAGATTGCTTAGCTAGGAAGTCGGCATTCCCGTTTGGTTTGGTGGAAAAGGGAAGACTTCAGAGTTGGAATTCCTGGACTAAATACTGGCTCCTCAGACTCACTGAGCAATCTTGCCATGGTCACTTTCACGAGCTTTGCTTCCTCAGATATAAAGTAAATAGTTTCTACTTACCAAGTTTATTGTGAAGATCACAATTCAAAGTGTGTGTAAGTACTTTATACTTATAAAACACCACTTTTAAATGTTAGCTGTTATATATTTTCTATCTTAAAAATAATCCTGGTCTTAGTTAGATACTTAGCATACCTGCCTGATATAGAAATCACTAATTCTTTGGTGTGTAGTGAACAACCTGGTTCAGACACGGCTGTGTTTCCCCCTTCTTTTTGGTGGTGTGTGCTGAGTGTGGTTTCATGATGAGTGAGAGTTATGGTTAGTCATCTCACGATGGCAGAGATTTGCACAAACGTGTGAAGATTCTTTCCCCACAACAGACTCAGAAGTGCATTGTTGGCAAGGCTTTCACTTTTCCCAGGAGGAGACTGGCACACAGAATTTCAGTGATTTGCAGGGTGCATGTGCCACCCATCCTGGTCGCTTCCTGTGACACGTTAAGAAGAAATTGGGATAAAGTAGTAATCATTGATTAGTCTTCATTTTGATGACAGTGTTGCAGTTTAATATTTTAAAACATTTTGAGAAATATTTTAAAACAATAAATACATTAAAACTTAAAGTGAGACAATAAGATACTAATAATATAAATAGGGACAGGTATGTTGTGTCCAGAATAAATCAGAAGCTCAATGAAAGATTGGAAGATAAAATAGCTCCTTGTTGCCTAAGAGTAGTGTTTATCATTATGGGTTACTGTAATTTTTTAATTGTTGGAATGAACTCCCAATCTAGAAAGTTGGGTTTCTTTGTTGACTATCTTTTACCAAAAGTTACCAACTGGTTATTAATTTTAATGACAGTAGAACTAAATCAATGAATTAAAATCTCAAATGTAAATTTTTTTTTTGGAATTGTACAGTAATTCTTAGGAGAATTGTAGCTGCATGTGGGTCCAAGTTTTTTTAGGAGACAGAGAAACTAGTTGCTCTTGACCAAAGAGATTCTGGTTGTTTTAAGGAGCAACCTACATGTTTATCATATTAACTTATTATTTTACTATTATAGGTATTTAAATATTATATTACAGATATTTATCCAAAATTCACCCACGTGATGATTTTTCATTGCAACTA